GAAATATTAAAAAATTATTACTTTTTAATAAATTTATTATAAAATAATTATTTTATAATAAATTTATTAAAAAATAATTTTTTAATTTTTCGGCCACATTTTCCATTTAATATTTATTGACATGGACAAGAAAAGCACAATACGAATTATGGGTGTAGATAAATACCAACTTTCTTGTAGTGGAGTGGGTGCTTAGCCAATTTTTAAGTCTAAGCATGATACTTAGTCAGTTAATACCCCTAATTGAGATACTAAACTAATTGATATGTAATAAAAACAAGTGATATATATATATATATGTGTGTGTGTGTGTGTGTGTGTGTGTGCGCGCGTGTGCATGTGTGCGCGCGCATGCATGTGTGTGTGTACATGTGTGTGTATGTGTATGAAAAGTTCGTAGTTGATATTGAGACAATTGAGTTGTGTACCATGTCTACATTGTACATGCATCATATGAATTTGAAAACTATATTTTTGTTCGAGGTATTGGTGTGGAATCCTATGCCAGGAAAACCCTTGTAATATACTATTTTTTTAATAAATAAATAAATAATTAGAATAAATAAAAATAATAAGAAATATATTTTCTTAATAAAATAAAAGAATGAGAGCTCATTAGAAGTCTTTGGGCTAGATTCTAAGTCCAATCTAAAGGCTAATTCAAACAGGATAAATTGGTAAGGGTTAGGTTATTTTTGCATGTATGCTAAAACACTAAGAGCTCACAAGAGGTTGTGTGAGAAAGCATGAATTGACGATAGGAGCTACCAAAGGTATATCACTTCTCGAGACTTGTCACTCTAGGTAAGAGGAATGAGATTATTGATTCCTTAATGTAGACACATAATTTCGTCCGGGGGGCATACAAATAACAAGATAGGACATCAGAGGGCCCAAAAGCCCAAATCAACTTTTTTTAGTGACCCAGAACGGGCCGTTCCAAAGGCAGAACGGGTCGTTTCCAAGTTCGGAACTGGTCGTTCTCGAATTGGAACGGGCCGTTCCAAGGCTTCTAATTGGCCTAAAAATTGTAGATTGGAACGGGCCGTTCTAGACCAGAACGGGCCGTTCCAAACCAATCAAATGGCTTAAAATTTGTACCCCAGAACGGGCTGTTCTGAAATCAGAACGGGCCGTTCTGGTTCCCCGGAACGGGCTGTTCTGATTTCAGAACGGGCCGTTCTAGAGTATAAAATAATACATAATGTTCGAATTCGGAACGGGCCGTTCCAAATCCAGAATGGGCCGTTCCGGCTCACATCTGATGCCTATAAATAGGAATCTCTGCCACAGTTCTGGGGACCCCAAAAATTTTGTCCATCACTCTCTAGAGCTCGAAATTTGTCTCTTTTTCTCTCTCTCTCTCTCCTATTGTATTTCTTGATTATTGTGAGACATTTGTGTAGTGTGAAAGGTTTCCATAAAGCACGTACAATTTCCATATTGAAAGATCTAACAAAGCTTGCTATGAGGTATTTTAATCAATCTTCTTTTCTCTCTTTTATTTCTTATCTTTGATAAATATTATTATAATAAAAGCAATCATGTAGATATTTTAAAGTTAATTGTTTAATTTAAATTTCAAGCATGTAAATATTATCAATAAAAGGGGATTCAATATTTATATTATTATTATTTATAATGTTAACTTCGTCATAGGGTACTGATTAAGGGCATTGTAGGGGTGCTTAATACCTTCTCTACACGTAACCGACCCCCGAACCCAATTCTGGTTATCAAGACCATTATTGGACCTTTAAAAACCTTTTCTTTTTCCAATGTTTTGAGTAAAACATTGGTGGCGACTCCATGAACCTATTTTCAAAACAATTAATTAAGGATTAGTCTGGTGTTCGGACATTCCTTAATTGATGATACTTTAAAAAGAATGTCTAAACCATATGTCGCGAGATCGGAAATTTTCAGGTTGCAACAGATGGCGACTCCATTGGGAAGTTTAAAGAGGGTCAAACCTATTTAATTAATGAAGTTAATAAAATAAAAATAATAATTTAAATATTTTTCCCCTTTACTTTGTTTGCTTTATTTGTTTGGCTTTAATATCTGTTTTCTTGTTTAAATTTTGCATCTTTTTGAATAAAAAATTGTACACAAACTTTTGCACACACAGTTCCCCCTACACCCGGGGGCATGAGGGTATTAAACATAGGGAGTGGTTGACGTACGACCGGCCCAAGTTTGGCCTTGGAGCCTGCGAGCCTTGTCGAAAATCACACTCAAGGTGATAACCGGTTACTCTAGCCCGAAATACTGCGACAGACCTTAGAGTTTGCCAGGTGACGGCGACAGAGATACTGGGTCCCTATAATGGGGGCACCTTGGGGGCCTTAAGACTAGTGAGATTAGAACTGTCCTATACAATGCACTTTTATTGCAGGGACCACAGACCAAGGATTTAAACGTGGTTGTTCGCGGGTGTACATTTGTTTGAGCATATGTGTGTTGCATTTGTTTGTGTTTATTTATTTCAAATAGATAAGAATTACAAATGAATAAATATTAATAAAAAAATATGATAAAAAATTTAACTCCCTTCTACATTCCTAAACCTCAAAGCATCATAGGTTCTCTGGTTGAGTCCCGCTGGGCGCGGGCACACCTGCGCTGGGCACGCTGACCCCTGGTGCTCTCTGGTTGTACTGCGCTGGGCGCAACCACGTATGCGCCGGGCGCGGAGATGAGATTGTTGTAATGTTTTATGTTGAGTTGAATTGAAATGGAAGGTGATGAAATGATGTCTAGTAGATAATGTTGCTGTTGATATTAAATTGTATCTGGTGAATGTGTTGAGAAGTGGTGTTGTGTTGTAGATGATATGTTGAGCTGTGAAGCTGATGTGTTGAGTTGTATAGATGTACAATTGTGTTGAGTTGCAAGTTGATATGTTGAGTTGTATAAGTTGTGTTGTGTTGGAATGTTGATGTGAGTTGATGTAGGCCGCAAGGCTGAGTTGTTGTAGGCCGCAAGGCTGAGTTGTTGTAGGCCGCAAGGCTGAGTTGTTGTAGG